TTTGATTTTCTACTTGCTCTCTTTTTTTCCATATTCAGATAAAGAAAAAACAAAACATCCCCAATGAAAGGCAATTCTAAACTGCTGCAGTCTTTTCTTCTCAAAAGGCCTTGTTAGCTTAAGAGCTCATAGTTTTAACAGTGTCTTAAAAAAAATAAAGAAAATGGAGGAATCTAAATATTTGCAACCACCATATTCAGAGGTGGTTCATTCATATTCACCAAATTTGATATCAAATTCACCATATTTGATACCCAAAACACCCTTTTTGGTATCATGCACAGACTTGGCTGCATAGAGACGCTCCCAGCTGATACAGAGCTGCTAAAAACACAAAATGCTAAAAGGCAGAGGTGAAGTTTTCAGTATTCCATGAGAATCCTCCAGGTTTCCATGACATTCCGACTGTATTTCTGGATAAAGCCTTTTCTGGGTACTTCAGTCTGCAGTAGAAAGGGACATGGGTCATTTGTACACTCCAGTATGACCCCAAGCTCAGTCTCCAGTTCTCAAACGCACCTGAAAAAGCAGATCCTGTCCTCTGAGATGGAAACCTGGACAAGAAGCTTGGCTTCATCTCTCCACAGATTTCTCTCACTACTTTTCCTTTTCTGCTCATTTCATAAAACTCAGGGTTTGTTTCTGAGCTTGTTCCATCTTCTTACCACTGCTGTTCTTGGTAAACAGGACAGACTTTAGAACAGCACCTCCATTCTTTAGCAACAACTTTGCTTCACTCCACAAAAGGAAGTTTATGCCTTCTGAATAATCCCAGAGATCCCTTACAGTGCAACACAGTGAGAGAAATCCAATTCTGCCAGCATTACTTGGTGTAGATGTAATCAGAAGAGAGGGCAGTGAAAAGAAACCCTGAATTACCTCAATCCTTGTCTGCTTTAAGATAAGCCTCAGCTTGTCAAGCATAATGCCAATACTACAGTTTTTGTAAGCAGCCAGAGTTAACAGATGTTGTAAAAAATATGCCTTTGATTTCTGTAAATTGCTCTGACAAGTAATAAATAAGAATCTTTTTAAAACTTCTACTCACCTTTTTATAAATAAAATATTTGCCCCATAACTAGAAAATCTATTATCCAGGCAGCTTGAGATGCTTAAGGATTATTTTTACCCACTAATTACAGAAGTTTTACATGTCAAACGAGGTCTTAACTATGTGTCCTCATCATCTTTAAATTGCACTCTCAGATAATCCAACATCACAGACACCAATTACGCATGTATTTGGTTTCAAACTCTCTTGTGTAGATTGCAATATCTTCCACACCAGTTCATTCTGAAACAATACCAATTAACTCAGTAGAATCCCATCAATTATAAAGACTACAGGATTAGAATTTGCTATCTTTAAAGTCTGCTTTTCCTGGTATCTGCTCAACACATTCATTTCACTGAATCTGCAAGAATCATAAACTAACAACAGGCAACCAGAGGGTGATTTGTTTTTGTTGTCTATCAGTTAATTAGTGTAGCAAAACTCCAGCAGTTTCTTGGGGTTATTTGCTTATGTGAATAAAGAAAGTACCTCTTGACTTTTTTTTCCCTATGTATTTAGAGCTTTTCCCAAGAAATGGCAGCAAATATCCCCTACCCTTGCATGGGGCAGGAGCAACTGTTTGACTCATTACAACTCTGTAATTATTCAATTCAATTACCTTAAAGTAATTGAAACCTGCAGCCAAACTGACCCTGAAGAACCTTCACAGATGAGGCTGAGTTGTGCCTACATCAAAGCCCACAGTAAAGAAGATTGAATAATCATTCATGGATTACAGTTTGGGTTCTCTGCACCCACAGAAGAAATGCCTCCTCAGCAACAACTGTGGATTCCTAAACTGTAGTAAACTGGTACTCCAGCAGCAGATGCTAATAAAAATATACATAAAAGTCCTTTCAATCATTTATTCTAGTGGATTTAAAACCTCATGTGTCTTCTGCCACGTGTAAAAACATTTTCGAGTCATACAAACGAAATATATAGCCCATGGTGCAATAAAATGAAATCAGCACATTGGAGGGATTATCCATTTTTATTTTCTTTAGAAATGGATCAATGGAATTACTGTGCTCCAGGAACACACTTTAAAAAAATTTACACCAGGTAGCATTTCCCTTAAGAAATTTTCACATTGCTGATAATTATGCAGATTGGACCTGGAATAATAGAAAGATGCATCCAGTGTCACCCCAGAGTTCTGTGACAGCCAAGTACATTCACAAACCCACCCCAACCCACCCCAATTCCTCGAACACCTGCAGAATCCCATTTCTACATCTAGCTAAAAATATTCTTGTCAAAATAGAAAAAGATTTTCCTACAAAAATTTTGGGGGAAGTCATGACACTTCTTCTAAATTGCCTTGCAGACAGCTAAGTACGACGATCAGTCTTGCCGAAAAGCTCCTTTTCCAGGATTTCAGGCGGATTTTGATGTTCCTAAAAATAGTCCAACATTGCCACCATGTGGTGAGGGACGGCTCAGGGAAAAGCAGGGACAAACACCTCGGCAAGGAGGAACCACCGCGAGTGAAAAAGGAAACTGGATCCTGAGAACTGACTCCTTAGGCCGGGAAAACAACTCTAAGCATGGACCAGGGTAAGAAAAATAATTTATTTTGTGAATAATTCTTCAGCGTTGTGATGCTCCCCTCACTCAAGGCACAATCCATTTCTGCTCACTTTTCTCTCAGTACAGCACGTGTTTGCCAACAAGGAAAATCTAAGTGTATGCAAAATGCCTAAGACCATTCATTTCTTCAAACATAATCATACTTGAAAATTCCAAAATCTTCTTCCTGGAGTTCAGGAAATTTATTTAAGAGATGATCTTTCACATAGGCTTTTTCATTGCTGCCTTCCTCACACTGAAGAGATATGCTTCATAAATAATGTTCAAGAAGTTGTCATCGTTCTGAAAAACAAAACAGGTAATTGTTAGCAGGATAACTGGAGTAAAGAGATTAGAAGGTTATTCCATCTTATGGACCTGACACTATTTAATCTTACTCTTTTTTATAAAAGGGAACAATAGCAAAGCCCTTTCCTTCACTGAAGATCTGTTTTATTTCCCATGACTGCACCTCAGCAATGAGTACACACAAAGAAGGTTTTCTAAACTCACAGTGCATTTGAGTCCAGGATTGTTGCATAATAACTCAGTGACAACACTGAAATTACAGCCCTATTTCTCTTCTTTGCCCTCATTTATCTAGGGACTTCCTTAAGTTATGTCCTCTATCAGGTCAGGGATGATTCCAAGCATGTCTGAAGGAATAATGAAACACTCTGGATTGTGATCCTACACCAAAATCCTACCTGGGGAAATCCTTGCATCTTGTTTAGCTCTTTTAGGCTTAATGCTCCCTAAGGGATGCTGCTCCTTTTGCTCTGATGCTAAACTTTTGCCTTCTGAAGAACATTTTGCAAGAATGAGTCAGCCCACATCAAGAAAGAATGTTATAAGTAGCTCACATAAACATATGAGGATAATTACAATCAAGATAATATTTAAGGAAAATTAGGTGCATCCAAGATTGTAGTTTTATATAATGGAAAATGACAGCTAACAAATTGGCAGTGAATAATTTCAAGGTAACTCAGTTAATCCTAACTACCACCAAGAATAGCAGAGTTAAATATATATTTTACAAGTACAAAGTTACAGAGGGTAAACCCCAATTTTCCTTGACCAGTTTTTCCTCTTTAACTTCATGTATGGTTTTAATAGTATCCAGACACCCAAAGTATGTAAAGGCAAGATAATGTGATATTTTTTTAATCCCAAAATAAAAGTACAGGGAAAAATGAGAAAGCCCTCCAGCTTGTTAAAGATACTATTTATTTTCTGAATTTGTAACTTAAATAACATTTTAAGTAACTTAAAATAATGAGTTTTAATTTTATTTCAAAACCATACAGGCATGTAGTTTTGACCTACAAACTGGCCATGTTTCTCTGCCCTTTGTGTTCTGCAGCCAGGTTTCTAGTTATGTAATCTCCCCTCAACTTTTACTCTTCAGATATTACTCACACAGCAAGTTAAGGGAAAAAAAAAATCATTATTATGCATCATGCCAAAGCAGTAAATAATCATCTTATACATAACATTGTTAATGCTTTGTGACAATTAAACCTGAAAAACTGCAGCAAAAGGAATTTTATCTCACGTAATTTTCTATTTCAAATGCTAAATTGAATTAACATACATTCATGTTATCTAGCCCATATTTTAAAGTTGCTCACACTCATCCTGCAATTTTAATCTCCCATCTGAATTCCTCTTACTGCTAACACACATCTCTGAAATATTTGGCAGCTAGGATAATCACCCATTATTTATCCTTGGCTAAAAATATAATAGATGTCTCTGGCTCAGAGGCTGACCTTACAAACCTTTCAGTCATCTTTGTTCTCTCCCACCAAATTTATCACCTTCCCTGCACCCCAGATCAGATGCATTAATCAAAATGCAGCGTGCAAGGAGAGCCTGGCACATGCAGCCCAACTTCCAACATTTATTTAATTTCAGAATTAAATTCAGCATTTAGACGGCCCCAACAAGTACAGGGTGCCTGTCTCAGAGCGGGCAGCAGGATTTGCAGCGGCACCGCTGCGGGCGGTACCTGGATGATGTGCAATCAGAATTTAGACAGCCCCAACAAGTACAGGGTGCCTGTCTCAGAGCGGGCAGCAGCATTTGCAGCGGCA